AGAAAAATCTTCCTGTACTTGCAGTGGCCACACCTACTCTGGCCAATGTCCTGTTCCTACCTGTGACTGACAGACAAGCGCCTTCCCTATTGTCACTCAGACCTTACTGGGCCTGTGTCTGTTCTCCCCTGTCCAATCCCTTCCCCCAGGATCTTCAGGGAATGGGCCTGGGGAATGTTAAACTGCAGCTTCCTGTCAAAACTGCACAGGTGGCATGCCTGTGCTATTGGCCTTCCCTTTGCACCTTTCCAGTTAATAACTGGGTTAGTTACAAAGGTATCATTAACATGCAAGCTGTGTCTTGGACTCTTTTCTAGGAGCTTGGTGTGCAGACTAAGACAAATTAATACTTTTTCTCCAACCTTCTAAATTCTTCTGGCTGGGTTAATAATCAAATTAACAGAGACAGATTAACAGGAGAAAATCAAATGTTTAAGACATGAGCATGGGGAATTCACAGAGGCATGAAAATTCAAGGACAGTGAGGCAACATTGAATATAAAAGGCATTTTGTACAAAGGAAAGGGGCTGGGGGTCTTAGATTTCAGAAGTGAGAATGGGAGATTTACAGGTAGTTGAGGATGAGCAGAACATACATGGCAGGAACATTCTTTCAAGGCAACCCAGAAGCAGGGAGACACAGAGCTACGTAGTTAACATGTCCCTGTATGAAGTCCTCTTGTTTTTATTTTGTTTTGTTTTAGAGAGAGGGAGGAGGAGAGAAAGAGAGAGAGAAACATCCATGTGAGAGAGCAACATTAATCTGTTGTCTCATATGTACCCCGACCAACTAGGGATCAAACCCGCAACCTGGTATGTGCCCTGACCAGGAATCAAACCTTAAGCCCTTTGGTGTATAGAATGACGCTCAACCAACTGAGCCATACTGGCCAGGGCTGAAGCCCTCTTGTGTACCGTACTTAATTCAAATTGAGCTAAAGCAACATCCTAAAGCAGATTTTACTGTCTGAATCGCTTGTGCAGGAAAAAGGGGAGGGTGAAAGGTTATTTCTGAGTGTTGTTTCTTAATAAACAGTTTAAAATTGGTGTCCCAAAAAGGCAGCTTCTGGGTGGTAAAACTAGTTCCCTTCAATAGACTATGACAACATGTAACCTGAGTTTTTAGAAAACTGGAGAGGCTGGTCCAAATGCCCTTTAATGTCATTTCTACCTCTAAGATACCAAAATTCCACCAATTTAAGGATATACATTTTCTATAATGGTATTGCTGGCTTAATGCAGCCACAGATATGCATGTGGTGGGTTGAAATACTTGGATTATTATAGCACCAGTATTTTATTCTTTTTTTCAACATAATATTAATAATTCATTAGAGGGAAAGAATAGCGCAGCCTAATAAAGAAAGATATTTCTTATCTCTCTTTCTTGTATCAGTTTCTCACTTTCATTTGTCTAAGCATCTCCTGCAACCCTGCCTCCTCTACATAGCATTAGACAGATGTCAACTTTCTGCTTCCTTTCCATACTCACATCATAGTTGGTAGGGTAACTTTCAGTCATTGTGACTGTATCTAACCCCTGTGTGCACATTCAGTTGCAGAAATGGGCATACATTTAAATCTGAACCAAAACGTGTTGAAATATGCATATTCATTCAACAAACATTTGTGGAGGACCATGCATTAAATCAGTACTGAGGGAAAAAGCAAAAAATTAGATACGGATCTTACCATTAAGTAGCTTCAGGTTTTCTAGCAGAGACTGTGCTTATGTAGACGAAACAATAATTCCCGTTCAAATCAGAAGGTAACATGTGGAAGATCATTTAAACAAACAAAAATGCCTATAGATGCTGGAGTATGTGGACTAGAACTCTGGAGGGATTTATAGAGGACTAAAGATTTGACATATGAAATTAAGGAAGACAGGTGTCTGGAAAGTAGTGTTTTATTCAGAATTTAACTTTAAGGTGAAAAGTAATTTCTCTGGATTAAAAATATTGTCTCATTATTTGGAATATCTAGACTTTTGTGTGCATAGCAATGTGCTCAGACTTTCTGTATGGGACAATCAGAAGATGGATCCTCCTCTTCCTCCTCCCCTTTTTACTGCTTGGTCACTATTGCTTTTAGTAGGAGGATTACTATTGTGACCTCAGCCTGGCCTTTGGGCACATTTTGCTTATAGCAGAAAGTTATCATGAGTTTATTTCACCCATGCAATGTAAACGGCAAACAACTGGTCAATTTTATATCTTCAGTTTTTCAATCAAGCAAACGGGTTGGGAGAAACCTTTTGAGTGATTAGCAAGAATTAAGCAACAATTTTTAAAAAGTAAAGAAAATAATTCAGTTTTTAAAAATTTTTTAAAAAATATATTTTTATTGATTTCAGAAAGGGAGAGGGAGAGAGATAGAAACATCAATGATGAGAGAGAATCATTGATCGACTGCCTCCTGCACCCCCCTACTGGGGGTTGAGCCTGCAACCCCGGCATGTGCCCTTGACCTGAATCAAACCAGGGTACCCTTCAGTCCATAGGCCAACGCTCTATCCACTGAGCCAAACCAGATAGGGCAAAATAATTCAGTTTTAAAGTCAGAGAGAATTATTTCCTCCACAGAAAACCTATCCTTTAAATACAGCAAGCAATAATGGCTAAGCCATTAGCGAATTTTTGGCAAGACAAAACTCTTTTAGACTTCTTCAATAACGAATAATTTTCAAGCTTTTCGGATGTAAACAAATGGAAATAACTTGGACAGAGTTCTTTGAACTGACAGATTAATAAGAAAAAATTGTTTTTAGTATTGGTGCTTGATTTTTCAGTCTCTTGAACTTCCCTGTAAATTAAGTTAATTTCTTCTGATTGAGTCATAAAGGTATGCAGTCAGTGTGAGGATTTTTTATCAGGAGAGTTTGGCCAAAATTTGCCAGGGGATTGATTTTTGTTGGTATCATTGAATTTTTCATTGTAATTTCAATACACTTCAGAGTGAGCTGAAATTTACTTTAAAAAGAATTTTAATATTATTCTATTTCTCTTTCATAGTTCTTTAATGAAAAGAACAGTGTTTCAGAGGTCTGCGTTTAAGAACCATTTTCACAGGCTACCTATCAAATTCTTATACCTACCTTGTCTTTCCAATTAGAACCTTGCCAGATGCCATTGATATTGATAGAAACATCTTTGTATATAATAGATCATCAGGCAATAATAGAGTGTCTATAAAATAACATTAGTTTAAAGAAAAGTCCCTCTGTGAAAAGAAGTTATCAGAGAGATCTGGAAAGTGTATTTTGGAACAGTTTGAATACAATACTTAAAATTATTGGTTGTCAACGAGGAGAGAAAAAAAGTGCAAAGAATGTTAGGGGTAATTAACGCAACTGATGATAGAGTTTGAAGGCTTGCTGAAGATTTGTGGGTATGTATGCACACATGTGTTTGCTGGGTTTCGCTCTAAATTCTCCTTATGTATCAACAGTTATTTTTCACATCTCTGTGGGTATGAAAAAATAATTTTTCACATTCTCTATGAGAATGGAACTTTTACCATAGATGTTGGTTTGTAAAAACTAGGCTATTCCAACCAAAGAAAAATAGTTGATCCTTTTGTATAATTTAACCTTAAATCATTTATATAGCCAAGACACATTAATAAAATAAGATCTCTTTGAACCTTAGTTTCTCTTTAATCTACAAATTAGATTTTAAAGAATGAAATATTAGGAATTCCACCAATAAATTTAAATAGAAATAGATTCATTTGAACCAATGACTGAATAAAATGGTGACATTCTCATATTAAACCTGATGATTTGGTATATTATATTACGCATTTTCTCTTATTTCATGGAGAGTGGAATTTTTATGAGCAGTATTTCAGAAAAATGTGAGTTGACTTCATGAAACTCTTTTCCATATTAAAAAAATACTTTAACTAATGCTGTTTTCTTTTAATCTTTTTCTGGAATACCTGGCCAAATATTCTAAAGACTTTGCATATTTTTCTTCAGTTTCAGCTCAAATTCTCAAGAGCAACCTTGCAGCAATGGAACAACAGATTGTTAATCTGGAACGTGACATCAAGAAATTCCCCCAAACTGAAGATCAACATGATAAATTCGTGGAAAAGATGACTATATCCTTTCTTTAAGTATTT